TTACTTACGATATAATATAAAGTGTAGTGTACATTGGCACGGGACACACCTACCCGATAGAATATTACCATAGTATGCAACTATTGAATATAAATGTAGATTTACAATTAATTATGAATAATTATACTTGAATATTATCTGACTTACAATACAGATTTCAAATGATAATCTAGATGTTGGTATGAATCCCTTCCACCCAAGTACTTTATTTATAAAACCTTGACAATAATACAATTAATAATTTGCATGAAATATGTTTGTATGAAATACCTCCCCTTCCTGTGGAGCAGGCATAGAAAAGCCAGACCCAACCCAATAGATACAGGGGTTTAGAAAAGGCCATCATTAGTAACGTTTCAGTTGTGGTCAACGGGTAGTAAATATCATAGAAATGGTTGATCCAATATATTGCTGCGAAACTACTTGTGGTACATGTGATCCATAAAATAGTCTCTCCGACTCGACCCCCAAAATAAAGGTTAGGCTTATAGCGGATCACATAACCGGTAAGCATACCGATTGCATAGCTAACCAAATGCGAGTCAGGCCTCCAATAGTATAACATAAAACTTTTCTGTGTGGTAAATACATCATCACCTGCCGGCAACTCTAAGAAATGTTTGATTCCAAAGAATATCCTAGGTGCTACACCTATGAATATTCCCAGTAATATAACTATTATATTCCAAAGGAAACCAATCCTTGGGTAGTGATATAATACTAGAAATACAAGGGGTGCCAACATAAACAGTTGATAGTCCGATGATATATACCTAATAATCGAATTAAATCTATAAGTATCCTTGAATATTGTCTTTTATTTACAACTCATACCAATTTGCTGTATTGCACTAAAATTTGAAATTATATATATAATTATATTAGAAATTGTCATTATTAAACATATTTGTACGAAAACCTTACTGGAAATCTGTCGGGCAGTGAAATATCAAAATTGCTGGTCATTAGTAGAGACGCCAACCAATTCTGTCGACACGGAATGAATACCCCGTTTGAAACCATATTCCAGTTTGGGCCTGGTATTGCAATTAGTGTTACAAATATAAATGTGATATTCATTTGTAATTACCATTTCCAATTAGTGGGAATAGGAAAACTAACAAAATCGCTCCCATGGTTGGGGGGACTATACGTAGATACCTAATGAGATTAACAGCATGAGTGCGTTTGATAAATGTGATATTCATTTGTAATTACCATTTCCAATTAGTGGGAATAGGAAAACTAACAAAATCGCTCCCATGGTTGGGGGGACTATACGTAGATACCTAATGAGATTAACGCATGAGTGCGTTTGATATTTAACATAATATTATTGTAGATTATTTAAGACTGATTTGTATATATGAAAAAATATTGAATTACCTATAAACACAATAAGCAATGTAATTAAATTGTCCTTTCATTTTCTCCAATTTAGACATCACTACATAACACGTGAACATTCCTATCATTAAGTGATTTCAAATGTATGTAAAGACCATTCATTCATATTATTGATTATATTTTGTAGTAATAATACCTCCGATACAAAAGAATGTGTCGATTATATGAAGAAGTTTAAATAAGAAAAAATAGTAATTATTATGCAATTGTTTAATCATTGATTTCTGAGTTTGTTTGGAGTTAATCATCATGTAATCGAGAATAGCAAGGTGGTTATACAGCACCCAAAATGATAGTATTGTCCGGATCCCATCAAACATAACGAACTTTTCATTACCACGATTTGGATAAAAAATAGTTTTAAAGTTTTTGATTACAGAAAATGATTCGTAAAAATCAATGAGTGCCGATTTGATGTCTGTTTTGGTGCCAAATAGTAGATTATAAGATTCATATAAAGTTGACAACAACACCAACACTGATAATACAGCGAATATCCATCTGATCATATAATAAAAGTTTCGCCAAAATGCTTGACACTCGATGCCTTAAAATATAGCCTAGTTAGAGTTGAGCTAGATCAATTAAAATTGTTTTAGAAACATGGTTTTCCCCTTCCAATATGTTCATGTTGGATTTATTTTCATCTGTTTTATTGTTTTACACCTTTACCTGTAATTTCACAATACATAGAAAAAATGTATTTCTAGGATAGAATATTCTGTGTATTAAATACAGGGTCGGTACCAGCAAATATTATTTAGTATTTTGAAAGACAATTCGAACACAGTTGAGATCACCCAGATCCATTAAGTAGTTGCTGAGATTAATGAATTTCAAATCATAAAATTCTCACAAATAAACAATTTTTAAAAATCAATAAGGCAAAATTTCAAGAAATCCAGAAATTAGTTTTTTCATTTTGACATTGCGCATAATTTCCCAAAATCAGAACTTTGATACCTCTTATAGTTTTTGAAAGAATCCATAATTTTCAAAATTCTCATTTATTAATATTCTCTTTTGATCAGGGTAAAATGGTGCATATGAACATATTGGAAGGGGAAAACCATGTTTCTAAAAAATTTTTAATTGATCTAGCTTAACTCTAACTAGGCTATATTTTAAGACATCGAGTGTCAAGCATTTTGGCGAAACTTTTATATAAACCCAATCATTATGTGTAACATTTGTTGGAGTGACATTTAGAAATATTTTGTTATTATGCTTGTTAACATTTGGTTTCATATATTGACCAAAACTTATAATGGTATTAACTAAAATATTTGATGCAAACAATATTGAAAACCCAAACCATAGACTAAATATACTGCCCACTAAAACTAAGAATTCACCAAGATATAATTTAGGTGTCTGCTTATACGTTTGGACCGGTAGTGATGGGAAAATAAATCCCACAACATCTTGTATTTTGTTTGTATCGTTTGTTGTCCATGGTTCATCCAGATCCTGAACAATTTGGTAATAGTGTTGAACGCAATCCTGATTATTACCACAAAGTCCAATGCAATCGTCCAATATTTTATCACTTGAATTATAATTTATAAACAAGCTTGAATTATTATTATAAGCCAAATAATCCTGTGGAAATGAGCCGGTTTCTTTAATCAATTTATCTATTCTACATTGAAACAGACATTCCTCATGGGAGTTGTAGCCCTTCTTAGTATACTCAACACAGTCTGACTTAAATGGTCCGGGTAATAGTTTGACAATAGTTTTTTGGTATTCAAATGAAATGTCTTTATATTTGGTATTTATCATTTTGTAACCAATTTGATCGACCCGTACAATAGAACGATGCCAGGTGTGTATGTGAAGTAATATCCATGCACCTTTTGCTGAATTTGCAAACCTCATTAGCGGGGTGAAATGCGCTAGGTTTATAGCCTACGCGATATCTGTCATCACTTTCACCATTCAATTACGAGAATAATGTCATACAATAAAACTGATCGCTTATCGCGTAACGTATGGGCGATATGTCCGTACAGTTTATAAAGTCATCAGTGACATTTGAGAAGTAGACTGGTTTAGAAACTTGACAGACATTTAGCAATTGCATTGGTGATTTCAATAGAGCAAACTGGTCACTAATAGACATTTTGTTTAATTCGTAATATATTACTTCAGCCCTCTCTTCATCGGATTCAATGCCGTCATAATTAATATCAGAAATGATTTTGTTTTTAAATTCAGTGGTTATATGAAAGTGTTTTTCAACGCATATAGTAATGGCCAGCAATGAGACCAATCTCACGGTTTCGTAGTTAATGTCAGTTATGGTTTCATATGAAAAATATAATAAACATATGTTTCTTAATTGTATGATACATTTAATTAAAGACTTTCCCTCTTAAAGCATTTATGTTTCGCAAACTAAATTAGCTAAAAATAAATTACGCGTAATTTTGCTTGGTTAGTTTTTACTCAATGTATAAAATATTGATGTTTAGCATACTATTTTGTTTTTTAAACCCATAAATTATATTTCAGTGCTTTGAGTTCATAATTTATAACTAAATCATGGGTTAAAGTATTAATCCTCGGAATCCTATGACAGCAATGAAATCAATTCATATAACTTTAAAACTTGATAAATAGGTTTTAGTCGGGAAATGATCATTATATATGGAGTCATACCAAACATACACTCCATATATAGGAAAACGTTAAACACTTTTGCATAGACACAGCAAAACAATTGCAAACATACTCTAATCCAAAAACATTTTATTAAAAATACATAAAATATGTATTAATAATAATGACTTTAATTAATACAATCTACTTATTATTATTGATATTCTGTGTGTTTAACGCAATTAAATGCTATTATATTGGGAGCAGATGTGGATATCCAGGTCTACCACATGACACCCAAATATATCCCGATAAGACTGTCTACGAAGACGGCAATGAAGTGAGGTATAGCTGTCCTTACGATAAGATCTATACCAAGACACAGACCAAGAAATGTGTGGCCGGTGTGTGGTTAGGCCCGCGATCCACGTGCGGCTACTTTATTAAGAATCAGTTAATGAACGTTAAAGTTATTAATCTGCGAAACAATAAGACCATTGTTGACATGATTACCAGTAATTACTCGAGCAGTGAATACCCGGCCTGTTATTACGATGGAAACGCTATGGCAGTGATAGTGCCCAACGCACAGGTGGCCCACGACTGGCACTTTGAGTTCTCCAGTTCCATGTTCTTTGACTTTTTCCTATTGAATATCAAAATCCCAAAACTGGGTCTACAGGTCAGGGGTGCGAACAATGAGATGATCGACTCAATGAGGGTCAGGAATATCCGAATAGAGGGCGAGGAGGACAGGAACTGTACTCTCGATTTCAGTACTCGTGACAAATTGGCGAAAATATTCTGGTTCTGGTGTACGGAAAGTGTGGCTAAAGTCCGGAACAGAACCCTTGAAATTAAATTCACAACATATTCGAGTGAAACAATTAAGTCGATCGGATTGCACCAGGTATACTTCACGAAACTGCAATATTGTGGTCATCCGACTGTCCCACTTATGGCTAAATATGATGAGGAGACCCAACGGGTTGTATGCGATCCCGACGTCTCCTATGATATCAACCCCGAAGACCAGATGATGGGTGACTGTGTGGACGACAAGTATTGGGCCGGTAGTCCTAAATGTGTGCCCAAACTACACTGTAAAGTAGAGTTCAATGAAGTGTCCGAAGAGATAGTGTCCGTGAAAAACGCGTATATCTTTGACACAAACAAATGGTATGCCATCGAAGGGACAGCTATAGATGCAAAACTGGCTACGAGTTCATCACCGATCCGTTTCGCACATGTCTTTACAACGCAACGTGGGATCAAACGGCACCCGTATGTCGAGAATATAGAAATTTTGAGACAGGTGAGAAATAACCAAGCATAAATAATAGTGGAATTTTCAATTACCACTTCCACATGAGTGAAGTTAGAGTCATTGAGTGCATAGACGGCATTACAAAATAATATGAAAGACAAATTTTTTTGTGAATACTTGCCATTGTATGCAACTCATGATTACGCAAATATAATGTATATATTATATTCATATGAATTTATCCCCTTTACTAAAACCTAATCTATTTATTAGTGATAATATTTGTGATATGATATCCGGTATTTTTAAGTAATCATGAGTTGCTTCCAATGGCACGTATTCAAGCAAATGTTTCATTCATATTATTGGGTCACATATAAAGGCATTTTAGGGATTTAATCAAGACATGTTACACTTATTTTGTTTATTATTTTTAATGCAAATAGAAAATGGATTACAGCTTGTATCGAACGATGAGTTTGCGACCAATTACCTTGATACTACAAAGTTGGTGATTGGCAACAGAAGTGATTGCGATAGTAAGCAAATTCTTTTTGAAAATATTCATTTTATTTGAATGCTATTTAATCTCTCTCTCTTACAAATCTCAGGGGCGGTGGCAGTGCTGTCATGTAGTGTATCATCTGAAAGTTGTATTATTGTCAAGGTTTTATAAATAAAGTACTTGGGTGGAAGGGATTCATACCAACATCTAGATTATCATTTGAAATCTGTATTGTAAGTCAGATAATATTCAAGTATAATTATTCATAATTAATTGTAAATCTACATTTATATTCAATAGTTGCATACTATGGTAATATTCTATCGGGTAGGTGTGTCCCGTGCCAATGTACACTACACTTTATATTATATCGTAAGTAATCATTTGATAGAAATGAAAATAAATAACTTTTAATGAACTTTTTTCACAATAGACATCAATTGTATTCTTCGAGTATTTAATATCATTTTTGCTATCAATTCCCTTTTATTTGCTAATAAGTGCACCTAGTACTAATTTAATAACGGTTTTGGTTAAGATTGCTGGTCGACGAGACAAAAATAGAAAACCTATTATTAATGATATAAGTAATTAATTTGTTATTGAATATTATACAATAAAAACACAAAATTATGTTAACCCTGTTAATTTTATATTGTTTATAAATCTTATGTAGATTTTAATTTTTGTTGTCGATTAAATCCTTTTCATTAAAATAAATATAAATACTTTTTAAAAGTAACATGACTACAAATTAAATACTTATTTTTAATCTATGTTTATAAATATTGTATAAATAAAATTATAATTAATAAACAGTTAATTAACACATATTATTCTTTGTTGATATTGTTGAAAATATTAATTTCTATTCAAGCACTTACCTGTATAATTATTTCTCAATCCTAACTTTTGATTAGTGGACAGTGAGTTTATTTGACAACATGGCCTCTCTGGTATTAACAATGTTGTTTTATTTAATAATCAGCGCTCCGTTCGCTAATTTGGTTAGTATTTTGGTGAAATCGCAAAACAAAATATTAAATGAATAATAAACCTTGTATAATTATATCTAACCTTACCATTTCCAAATACAATGATTTATTAAAAATTATAAATAGTTTTAATATTTTTGTTGTTTACTGAAATTTAAAATAAGTATAACTTATTTATCTAAATGCGGTCATAGTATACTATATTTACTGTTTATTTCCAACCATGTATTGTGAAATTAATGTATTATATGTTAATTTGGTTTATTTCAGTTATGAACAAAGTATTTACGTAAGATAACTGTAAAATAATGTATGATAATTACAATACATTATAACTATTATATAAACATTAATATGTATTGTGGTTTGAAAAAAACTGCAATAACTGAATACATTATTAAAATCTATTCTAATTTGTCTATAATTTCAAATGAAATCATTTACATTGCGATAAACTATTATTGGAAAAGATGTGGTATTTACTATTTTAATAAATAACTTTCATTTTGCATTATGATAACATTAGAAAATAATAAAATAATGAAAACATATCGAATAGTATATTTTAACTGAATATATATAAATAACTGAATTGTTTTCTAACATTTAATATTAGTTAAACTATTGTTTAGTATATGAAATTAAAAATGAATTTTATTATTAGATCGATAGTCATTTTATTGACAATAATTTACGTGAAAACTGATGAAAATGAATTTCATTCATTTGATATGAATAAGAAATGTTCACTCAATAGA